CTTAACAGTTTTGGCGACTGTGACCTGTGCATATATTTGCACATGGACTTTTGGTCAATGTCTGCCAATATCTGTGTGATTTGATAGCTATATAGCTTATATACAATTGTAAAATGTTATAAAAATAAATAATACCTGTGGAAGTGTTTTGTGTGTGATGTGAGAAGTGTGAATGTATTTGTATTTCAGTTATGTTAATTAAGAAGGAGTTACATCCCTTTAATAATTTTTTTTATAATTTTCATTTCAAAATTGATGTATTAACTTAATCAAATAAAAATGATAGAATCCGTTAATTTAGCCACCGCTGGAGAGAATTTATATAGGCTTTGCCTGTTATTCCATCCAATTGACTTGCATCATCTTTGTCAATAAAATTTGTTGAAATGAAACAGTATCACACCTATCAGACGGTGAGGTAGTATAGATATGGGCATGTACAGTGAAACACACAGTTCCATAACAACTAGAGTTCACGAAGAAATAGACCCTTGTGAACAGTGGAACATACTAATATTACAGCTGTCAAACTTTTGGGTAGCAATGGACCCGTTTCCGGGTAACAGGTCTTATTACTTAATCACTATGATTTAGATGTGGTTTAGCAATACATAATATATATATCAGTTTAGTTGAAAAGTTGACACTGGCGTCATTAGTCGCATACTATAAGCATCATTGTGAAACTAATCTTTAACGATAAAAAATGATTGAAATACATGCTAGCATAAAACAAAACAAAAATAGATTTGATTTTCTTACGTGCTTAAAGAATTTGATGATTGACATATTGTAACGCATGCCCTAAAGTTGTGATCACTGAGATGTATGGGTATTGATCAGTACACTAGTCTATATAAGTAGAAAAGGGGTTGTGACCCTTACAATGTATATATAGGTAGTCAAGATGTTGACATATCATAATTAAATATGTAAGTAGTCAAGACGTTGTGATATATTATATATATATATACAGTGTACTTAATATGAAGATAGCTAAGATGTTATGACCAACACACTAATGTTCAGACCAGAGAGAACAATGTGATCACTACACTTAAATGTAGGCAGTCAAGACTATTGTAATCTCGTCACTGAACGAATAGTTTTATGCATAGAGATAGTGAAAAACAAGACACGATACTGCAGTATTGAACTATAACTTATCATTAATCTACTGTAGTAGAGTTTATGTTATTTATGTATGCATTTCATGAACACGTTAACATGCTAACTGAAGAGAAATACAGAAGGCAAACGCAATTGCGATTTACAAAAATTAAAGCATAGGGTCAATATCACATGTATATTGTAACTGTAAATACTGGAAGCAATCGAAGACCTTACAGCAGGGAATATCCATGTTCTGCTAACCTATCTTGCCACAAGAGAGACACGTCTACCGGTGATTGAAGACGGACACGATCAAAAATGTCCATTGCATTTAAGACCATTTCAAAATACTATTATCAGCTTTGAGTAACCTTTATGAATGGTATAACATTAAGCAGTGATATCTTTAGCCTGATAGTCTAAAAATGACATAATTGGTCAATTAATCACTCCCTATCTACGTGGATTGACCATTCGAACCACCTGTCCACATAGAGTATCCAGCTTAAGTGCTCAGCATAACGTATTTTTGACCACTCAGTTATTGACCAACCAGAACATGTCTGTGCGTCCAGACCCTTTGACCTCTCGTCATCTTTCTTGATCACGTGATCAATTTCCCATCGAGCACCTGTTATTTCTTCAACACGGGACACTGACCAGTTCTAACAACGATCCTTATCGCCCATTTACAGCTACGACACTCAGGTTGTTTTGTATTGTACTCATTAGACACTTGATGAAGAACAGATAGATTTTCGGAATTCAAAATAGTCAAGACTTGAGTGTTATGTTGCATTGTTTGTTATCATCCCGTTTTGTTCTGATGACACAGGTCCACTGTTTGTGCCCCCTGTTAGAATACGAGGAAGGCCAACCCGAGATGGACGCGTCTAACCCTAAAAGCATCTACCAACTTATCTGCTCCGGTACAGGTATGTTACTTTAAGTATAACATTTCACTAACTAACACAGTAACTAGTGAAAAGTTACATTTTACATGTAAAGTGACGATAAAATATTGACCTTTTGAAAAGCAAATATTAGTTTGATAGCGTTTTGTTTTAAATATCAAAATATGCAGAAAGCCATTCATTATATAATACGTTCTCTCCGCATGAAATTAAAATCCGAACCTGAAATGGAAAATACGACTTGTTATGATCGTAGGACCATAAATGGAGATTTGGTACGGTAATATTAACATGATTTAATTGCAATCAACATTCTTAATTCAGTCAAATTAACACACAGTTGATACGTATAGATAATTGGAATGTCAAGTAAATTAAAAAATGTCAAAAGCAACGAAGGAAAGGTTATTGCATGTGATCACTTGTTTAAAGTACAATTTAAAAAAATAACACATGTACAATATATCAACCTATCATTTCAAAATGTACACATGACAAAAAAACTAAAACTTGTGTTTGTTAATTACAGGACGATTGCAAGCAGCCATGAAAAGAGGGAGAGGTGGCAGCCGTTACGGTGGAGGCAAAAATGGCCGTCGGTTCTACTTTTACAGGAAATAGACAGTGCGCATGCGCGAATAATTCTTTTTTGGTTATTTCCGACAGAGATAAAGTTCTATCAAATATTCTCAGACGCTCATTAAGGCATTTGTAACTTGTCCCTAGTTATTGTTTGACGTGAAAACATATTCAAATTCATCACTTACGCGTGAAGTTTTAAGGAATGTCATGAATTTGTATATAATGGTAATAAAATATTGGAGTGACGTAAACTGTTTTGTTTTGATTACAACTATGCTATCACCATACCTGTTTAGCCTTCTAATGTCCTAAGATGAGGAATATTTCTTCTTAGAATGATTTCTCGATTTTAATTGTCTGATTAGTTTCTTTAATGATCAACAATTTCAATAAAGGAAACAAGATCTTTTAATGAAAACATCTCTTAGCAAATAATAAATCCGACGTTAGCCGCATTTCAAATCATGAGATGTAATTGTAATTTGACAAACCATTCCCTGATATTATGATTTCTTAATAAGTTTTATCCTATTGTAATTCTTACTGTAGTCTCAAGAGAAATGTATATCACTTAAGAGAATGACAAAAACTAACATATTTAATAGAACCAGTCTGAAAGGGAAGTTATCATATTGATCCAATTGCTTATGAATCATATTCAACTACCTATATTATAATCACTCATTACAACCTTAGAAATCTAAAGGTATATTATATAAATACATCATTTACAGCCAATACGATCAGTAAAAAGTGTCAATTGGGCATTCCTAGACATTTTATCAAAACGAGAGTATAAAAATTACTAGTAATGTGAAGAAAGAAAGAGCACGTTGCTAAAGATGTTTTACTCTACCATATGGTTATTCTTCGTGTTAGGATTGTGGTACTCAACGTGGAATTAATGAAAAATCATTTCTCAAGTGGTCCGAAACATGTTGATATACAGTAAGAAGGATATAAAACAGTTAATCACGTTACAAATTTAAAACGTTTGGCTTCAAGAGATGGTTTACCTCTTGAATAATGTTTCATGTCAATTTTCAAGAATAGATTCTAGCAACATATATAGTGATCATCACAGTTACACGATGGCCATAGGTAAGAATGTTTACATTGGACGGTTCGGATGCAGTACTAGATATAGGTGTAAGCTATCTACCGTAGCCAAACGTTCTGTAACGTGATTCCTTCTAGTAGCTTTATAGACATATTTCCCTTCTCGTACATTTTACATATCTGTCGTAACCCTTAAGATATTATTTTTCATTAATTGACCCTTAGTGTCAATGATGAACAATAAATAAGCGAAATGGCCATTTGATGACGTAAATGACCATATGATGACGTAAATGACCATATGATGACGTAAATGACCATATGATGACGTAAATGACCATATGATGACGTAAATGGCCATATGATGACGTAAATGTACAATTTGTTTTGCTTACTGCATCGAGTTACATTTTAGAGTGATATCGTAGTTCGTATTTGAAGTAGTAATATATAGTAATTAATATCTAGATTGTAACATCACACATAGCGTCACATGTTCATCGTTTTAAGTGTGTTTCACTCAGGGATCAATAAAAAGTCATATGTAATAATAGGAAAATGGATATGGTAAGATTTCATTTATATTACACTCATTTTAGGAAAGCTTGATAGATAACATGATGTACGCCATATACAACGGTTCCTGTTGTCAGTATATATCAATCTGATGTCAAATATTGAAAGGTGCAACCTGGGACCAATTTGCAAAAATACATAAATGAGAGCAAAAACTTTAGTTCAAAGTGAAATCGAGTGATTTCATTCGCAGTGTAGCATACATCCACATTAAATGGGTCAATTTACGACTATTCCCATACACTAAATTAAAACGTTTCATAAGTATTCGCTTTTACAGGAAATATAATATTTGACGCGGGGGAATTCATATCATAATCTTTGGTGCCATGTTTTAAATGATGTCGCGCTTGACTGCAAGGCTCCATTCACCGTTAAATGTGCTACTAGACGCAATCCTACCATTTTCTGATATTCATAGTAAGTTTTTCATACAAAGATTATATAAGGTAAATTGAACTGTAAAGAATTATTTACATAGAGACCTTACAAAATAAGGAAATAAGAATATATGGTGTATTGTCAACACATACAAATATTTACACTAAACATATATTACAGCATCAACTGTAACACAGATGTAATACGCGTCCCCACCTTAAAATATATGTACCATACACGCACAAATGAATACTACAGCCTATATGCACAACATCGCCAATACTGGAAAGAATATAATGATAATAATAAATAATATACAACATTTATAAAGCGCTCTATATAATTTGTAAAATTACTCTAAAGCGCTTTACAACATATGGATAATAGTAATGGTTTTAATTGTGAAAACAAAAAACAATGGCTTACAATCACTTTTATACATTTGAGCAAGCAATGTGCACACAATTGAACAAATAAAAGGGTGGTATTTACATGACGTCTTTGCAAGGATTCTAAAATGCAGACGTTAAGAGGTGAGTTTTGATGTCCCTCTTGAACTTGGCCAGGGTATTTGACTTTCTGATAGCAGATGGTAAGCTATTCCACAACGTAGCCGAAACCCTCCCAAAGCATCTGTTTCTGTAGGTCACAGTACGAGCTTTTGGGACACACAACAAAGATTCTGACTCCGACCGCAGTGATCGTGACGGCTGATGCAGACTAACAAGCTCCTGTAGGTACTGAAGAGCTGTTCCATTCAGTGCCTTGTATGTGTACACCAGAATTTTGTACTTCGATCTGTATCGTACAGGTAACCAGTGCAACGAATAAAGCACAGGTGCGATGTGCTCTTTCATTCGAGTACGAGTAACTAACCGTGCTGCAGTGTTCTGGACCCTCTGCAGACGACTAGTTAGTTTGTCAGATATACCACAGAGCAGGGCGTTACCATTATCCAACCAAGGTAACAAGTGAATGCACCAAAATCTTGCATGCATCTGCAGTTATAAACTGCCGAATACAGCCGATGTTCCTGATCTGGTAGTAACAGGATTTGGCAATAGCGTTCACTTGTTTCTCCATTTTCAGTGAACTATCAAAGTATACACCTAGGTTTTTAACAGCTGGAACAGTCTCAATAGTTCTGGCACCGACCTTGAGCTGGAGAGCCATTGTTTGCTGACACTTTGGTGAAAAGACGATTAGTTCCGTCTTTTCCTGATTAAGCTTAAGCATGTTGGCGTTCATCCAGATACTGATATCTGTCAGACAAGCTTCCAGACTTTCTGAGACTGTATTCCAACTGTCCTGTGGTTTGATGACCATGTAAATGTGTGTGTCATCGGCATAGCAATGATAGCGAAGGCTATGGCGACTACAAATCTCTCCAATCGGTTTGGAGTATATATAATATTTTCGTGGTCCTAACACCGACCCTTGAGGAACCCCGAAATCTAGTATTTTGTCATGTGAGGTGGAAGATCCGATGGCAACACACTGTCGTCGTTCAGTCAGGTAAGACTGTGTCCAGCATTGTGCGGTATCAGTCACTCCATAAGAGTATTCCAGACGTTTATAAAGTATGCCATGGTCGATGACTTCAAATGCAGCTGACAAGTCCAGCATGACAAGCACCGCTCTGCACTTGTTATCCAATGCAGAAGCTTTATCATTATGTACACGTAGGAGGGCCGTCTCAGTAGAGTGTCCCATGCGGTAGGCCGATTGCATGTTGTCATGGCGACTGTTTGCATGGAAATGAACCTCTAAACGCCGGGACACAACCTTCTCCAAGATCTTAGACAGAAAAGGCAGATTTGAAACTGGGCGGTAGTTTTTCAACTCCTCCTTGTCCATTCCAGGCTTCTTTAACAATGGTCTGACATGTGCCTTCTTGAAACATAATGGAACCTTTGACTCAGCCAATGATTTGTTCATGATTGAGGTAATCAAAGGCAGCAGACATTGCTTTAATAGGTCTATAGGCAGTGGATCAATCTCAAAGGACTTCGATTGCGAGGTCATGATAATAATGCACAACTCGTCCTGGGTTGTTGGTGAGAGCTTTGTCAATTTTCCCCATCAAATCCAATGTCAGCAGTCATGACAGAGATGTCAATGTCAGCAGAGGTGTTCACCTCGGCAATATTTCTCCTGATTGAGGTGATTTTATTCAGAAAGTAATCTCTGAACTTGCTTGCCAAGTCTTTTTCAGAATTACACCTTTCTGTCCCATTAGATTTTTGGTGAGTCTTAAAAGCTGTCTTTTATCCTTACCGCATTCTTGGATTCTTTCCGAATAATAAGCCTTCTTTGACTGAAAGAGAAGTGAACAAACAAGCCGACATTGCTCCCTATAAATCTGTTGGTGAACGGTTAATTTGGTCCGTCGCCACTGTCTCTCTGCTTTTCTACGGTTCTGTTTTTCTACGCGGAGATTTTCATTATACCACGGGGCATTTGGTCTCACAGTTATCACCTTAGTTTGCAGAGGTGCGTGTTTCTCTGTAAGGGTTTCTATACCAGATGTGTGTGCTTCAACAAGAGCATCAACCTCGCCTTCAGTAGATTTAAGGGCTGAACAAGACTGAATGTCATTGTTGAAATCTGGTATTGAAATTTCGCGAAATTTCCGGAAGCTCACTTCTTTCCTTGCATGAGCTGGCGTACTTTAATTCAGTGTTGCGTGGACAACAAGATGATCACCGGATTGGTTCCCCTTTACATCGCTTAAACATGGATCAATCACTGAAATAGCTCCATAAATGACTGGGTTACCTTTCCTCGTTATGACCACATCCAGTGTGTGGACATGTGTGTGTGTAGCCTCTGTCACATACTGAACCAGACCACCGGAATCTAGTGGACCAGAGAACTGGCGAGCAACGGCAACGTGTTGTTTATACTGACGATACAGCAGCTGTACATGGCGACAGTACTCATAGATAGTGTAATAATGAGTACGGCAACGCGTTGTTTATACTGACGATACAGCAGCTGTACACGGCAACAGTACTCATAGATAGTGTAATAATGAGTACGGCAACGCGTTGTTTATACTGACGATACAGCAGCTGTACATGGCGACAGTACGGCAACGCGTTGTTTATACTGACCAACAAAATGTATACAATATACATTACATGTTAAGGTGTCGTTTAGCACAATGCAGTAATTAGTTTGGCCGGCGAGATGATGTAAGATGAGAAACCGCCATAGCAGTAGTAGTA